CAAATAAGATATGACTGAACAAAAAACATCGTGTCCACAGAATTTCATTTATTTTTTTTTTCTTTATATTTGTATTATTTCCTATTTTTTCCTTTTTTTTTTTTTTTTTCTTTTATTTATATTTTTTCTTTTCTTTTCTTTTTCTCAATTCTCTATCCTTTTCCTTGTTAATTGCGTTAGGCTTTTTATTTTGTTTCTTTTTCTTCTCTGACTCTGCAAATGCCTCATTTTACTATTACCTTTAATATATATATATATACTGAACTGTGCATGCTCTGTATAATTGTTATTGTAATATTATGTAAAGGAGAAGACTTCATAAGTTGGTTAAACTTGTGTCCGATCCTTTTTGTATCTATGAGCAAATAAAATCGTTATAAACTAAAGAACAGTAAAAGTGATGCTACCCAAATTTGAACTTGATCTGAGTTTTGAGGAAATAAGCATTGTGTGTAAGTCTCATATAACATTTGGTTGAGGCTAACTTAAGTAGAGAACAGAAACTAAAAATTCAGCAATTTTTCTATTTGTAAACACGCATAACTCTAGAACGGTTGTGTATAAGTTTTATAACATTTGGTTGAGACAAACTAAAGTTAGAGAACGGAAATGAAAAATTCAGCAATTTTTTTGTTTATAAATGGCCTTAAGTCAAGAATGGTAAAAGTGTCGCCACCAAATTTCCTACTTAATCTGTATTATGTAGTAATAAGCATTGTGTATAAGTTTCATAACATTTGGTTGAGGCAAACTAAAGTTAGAAAAAGGAAACAAAAAATTTGTACTTGATCTTAGTTTTGTGGTAATGAATATTGTGTAGGTTTCATAATGTTTGGTTGGGGCAAACTTAAGTTACAGAATGAAAACTAAAAATTTTGCAATCTTTCGATTTATAAAGGGGCATAACTCTATAATGGTTAAAGTGACACTACCCAAATTCAACTTGATCTGTGTTTTATCAGTGGAAGTCAAAATTAAACATTGCATTGTATAAAGCATTGATTGTAGTTGATTCAACTATAATCATGGACAAAGGAAGATAACTCCAATTTTAATAAAATGCTCCGCTGGGCTCAGCTTGATACGACCGCATAGGTCGAACCCTGAACAGTTGGGGCAAGTATGGACACAACATTCAAGCTTGATACAGCTCTGAATTTTGATTGTGATTAAATACTTGACACAGCATACATGTAGGTTTCTGACACAGAATGAATGTGGTCTAAGAATTTAAAAAATTTTAACTTACCTATTATGGTCCAATATCCAAAATCTAAATACATACACGGTTAGATTCAGCATATCAAAGAACCCCAAGAAATCAATTTTTGTTAAAATCAAACTAAGTTTAATTTTGGACCCTTTGGACCTTACTATAGACCAATTTGAAAATGGGACCAAAAATTAAGAAACTAAATACACAGTTAGATTCAGCATATCAAAGAACCCCAATATTTCAATTTTTGATGAAATCAAACCATATCATTATTATTTGCTTTTATATATAAATCAATAAAATGCTCCGCTGGGCGCAGCTTGATACCACTGCAGAGGTCAAACCCTGAACAGTTGGGGAAAGTATGGACACAACATTCAAGCTTGATACAGCACTGAATTTGGATTGTGATTAAATATTTGACACAGCATAGGTTTCTGACACAGAATGAATGTGGTCGAAGAACTTAAAAATTTTTAATTTACCTATTCAAACCATATCATTATTATTTGCTTTATATATAAATCAGAAATAACCAATTTAGAATGGAAAATTTTAAAGAAAAAAAAAGGAAAAAAAAATCCCCCCCCCCCCCCCCAATTTTTTGAACCCCCTAATGATTCATCACCCCCATACTCAATCCCAGCCTTCCCTTTGTGGTATGGTACCTTGCAGTACAATTTCAGAGAGATCCATACACTTGAACACAAGTTATTGTCTGGAAACTAGAAAATGCTTGTTTTTTGGCCCCAAATTCCTAAACGTTTAGGGCAATTACCCCCAAACTCAATCCCAGCCTTCCCTTTGTGGTATGGTACCTTGCAGAACAATTTCAGAGAGATCCATACACTTGAACACAAGTTATTGTCTGGAAACTAGAAAAATGCTTATTTTTGGCCCCTTTTTGGCCCCTTATTCCTAAACGTTTTGGACAATTATCCCCAAACTCAATTCCAGCTTTTCCTTTGTGATATGGAACCTTGTAGTACAATTTCATAAAGATCCATACACTTACACACAAGTTATTGTCCTGAAACTAGAAACATGCTTGTTTTTGCCCCTTTTTGGCCCGTAATTCCTAAAATTTTGAGGCAATTACCCCCAAAATCATTCCCAGCCTTCCCTTTGTGGTATGGTACCTTGCAGTACAATTTCAGAGAGATTCATACACTTGAACACAAGTTATTGTCTGGAAACTAGAAAAATGCTTATTTTTGGCCCCTAATTCCTAAGCATTTTGGGCAATTACCCCCAAACTCAATTCCAGCTTTCCCTTTGTGATATGGAACCTTGTAGTACAATTCAAGAAAGATCCATACAATTACACACAAGTTATTGTCATGAAACTAGAAAAATGTTTGTTTTTTGCCCCATTTTTGGCCCCTAATTCCTAAAATTACCCCAAAAATCAATCCCAGCATTCCCTTTGTGATATGGAACCTTGTGGTACAATGTCAGAGAGATCCATACACTAACACACAAGTTATTGTCTGGAAGTTACAAAAATGCTTATTTTTGGCCCCTTTTTGGCCCCTAATTCCTTAACTGTTGGTACTATAACCCCCAAAATCAATCCCAACCTTCCTTTTGTGGTATTGAACCTTATGGTAAAATCTGTGTTTTGTGGTAATAAGCTTTGTGTATAAGTTTCATAACATTTGGTTGAGGCAAACTTAAGTTACGATATTCCCGGGCTTGTGTTTCCTATCATGATTTCCTTGATAGAGGATTGCTGCTCACAAAGAAGCTATTAAACCAAGAGTTCCAAATGGTGAAGTTGAAATCATCCCTTCGTAAATTTTACGGACGCCATCACGAGTTGGTTGACCGTTATGGAATAACCGTTTCACAGATGATATCGGATATGTTCCTTATGTCGTAACTACAATACCCTTCCCTTTTCACGAATGTGACTTACCGAATTAGACTATTTACCGGATTTTTAATAACATAAGCAACACGACGGGTGCCACATGTGGAGCAGGATCTGCTTACCCTTCCGGAGCACCTGAGATCACCCCCAGTTTTTGGTGGGGTTCGTGTTGCTTAGTCTTTAGTTTTCTATGTTGTGTCATCTGTACTATTATTTGTCTGTTTGTCTTTTTATTTTTGGCCATGGCGTTGTCAGTTTGTTTTCGATCTATGAGTTTGACTGTCCCTCTGGTATCTTTTGTCCCTCTTTTAGAGAACTGAAACTAAAAATTTTGCAATTTTTCCATTTATAAAGGGGCATTACTCTAGAACGGTTAAAGTGACGCCACCAAAATTCAAACTTGATCTGTCTTTTGTGGTAATAAGCATTGTGTATAAGTTTCATAACATTTGGTTGAGGCAAACTCAAGTTAGAGAACGGAAACCAATTTTGGGATGTACATACGTATAGACGGACAAGGGTAAAACTTAATGCCCCTACCGCTATGGCGGGGGCATAAAAATCGCACCTGTTCTATCTCAAAAAGATTTTTACAGTGTAGTGTACTACTATTGGGACAAATAATATCAAAATTATAGAAAAGTCTACCAGCTCTAACTCAAAATATTGACAATTATATGTTAAGGGGGTCTAAAATTCAGTTTGACAGATTCAGACATACTAGTTTTTGACCTTTTTTAACTGGACCAAATCACTACTTAACATAAAGATTCAGCACCCAAATTTTTTTAACATGTAATATCATCCCCTTACTTAATATTTCATGCATAAAATATAAAGAAATAAATTTGAAAAGTGTATGAAAAAAATTTGCAAGTTATACACTGTCCACACTAGGGACTATATTTGTAGACAACGAAAATCTAAGGACGATAACTGTGTCCTCGGACCAATAACTCATGTAAGGAGTCATCAAATGGTTACCTTCCTTAAGAAATTTATGTGCACAGTTTTGATAGATGTACATTTTCTAGATAATATGCAAAATACGTCTGAATTCATCATTTAAGGGCAATAATTTGTATAAAATTTCTTCAATCATATTGGCATTTTTGTAGCTCTTGTATTAGTGATTACCTTTGTTGTTTACAGTTTCTATGGATCTTTTAAATAAAAAGTTCAAGATAATATGCAAAAACTTGAAAATATGTCTAACTATTGCCATTGAAGGGTAATTACTCTTACAAGGAGGCATCTGATAATTTTAATGGGGATAGATTTCAACATTCTGAGCATTATCACTTACTATTTATTTTGGTTTTCAAGATACATGTATTAAGACTATTTATGCTATTTATCCTTTAGGCCTTATGTTCTTTTTTTACCCATTGGGGCCATGTTGGTTGATAGGCAGGAACAAAAAACATGAACTTTATACTAGATGCCCTAAGTTTCAGGTTAAGTTTGGTTGAAATTGGTCCAGTGGTTTCACAGAAGATTTCTTAAAAAGCTTACATGTATGACAACAACGGATGATAAGTCCTTGAATGGTGAATTTGATAATCATTGTTAATCTAGTAGCTTTTTTTTAATTGGTTGATGAGTATGTCACACCTGCTATGTGCTAAACAGACGTGTTCAATCATATGATAATAAACAGCTGACCACTCTGTACTTTTAATCCCTGCTGACTGTGAAAAAGCAGAAACTCATTCTAAATATGCAATGAAATATTTGCCACAAAACATTAAGCAGACAAAAATAAACACATATTAATTAAGTCTTTATTTGATATGACTGTAAATCAATCTAAAAACAACCCCAGCCTAATCAAGGAAAACACACTCCACAAGACCCCAGAGGTGATCTCTATCAGTGTACTTTACATGCAAAAAGGTAAATGAGATCAAGTTATAAATTTAATTCTTTATTGAAACAAATACAAATACTTAAATAGCTACTTTTTACCAGTGGATTTACTTCCAGATTTTATGTCACTTTTTTCAGTGCTCTTTCCTTTTTGAGAATCTTTCTTTTCTCCATCTTTTTCATCTTTTTTTATGTCTTTTTTATCTTTGGATATATCTTTTCCTTCATTTTTCTCTGCATCGCGATTTTGTACTTTATTACTTATTAGATTATGCAATGCAATGACAGATCGGATCAGCGAAGCAAGATAAACAACCAACATCTGATCATTGGTTTTCACATAAACAGACTTCACAAAGTCCTGCAGATTAACGTCTGGCAGTAAATTAAACACATCTTGCAGCTGATAAATGATTTGATGATTGACTGGTAGTTGACCTGATGATACTTTCTGTAGATAGGAATTAATATCAGTGATGTGAGAGTGAAGACCTTTCAGTCCCATCAGTTGGTTTGTAATCCTCTGGGACAGTGAGCCAACTGATGTATCTTTAATGTCTCTGAAATTTTTAGAAAACAAGTTTAAGTATTCTCAAAAATATTTGCTGAAAATCTTTAGTATCATTCCTATGACAATTCTTTAGAACATGTTCAACGCATTCTCCTCCTCAAACTGTAAATCATCATTGAATATGTACTACTATCAGCAACATAAATCAGGAATATTTTTTACATGAATACCTTTGATAACACAATGCAAATATCCCTTAAAGGGGCATAAGCTGGAAACATTGTGCGCAGCCAAGAAACACCAAAATATTTTTAGAGAAGCTTTAGTACCTTTAGCTATTTACATAATCTCACCAAATATAAAGTTATTTTTCCTATCTAAATCATACACAAATAAACAGCTGCGCCATGAGCGCATGATACGCCCTCTGCTTTTTAAAAGAATAAAGTTCAATAACTTCTCAATGTCATATCAGAAATTCATGAAAAACTAAAGGGAGGTTATATTAATAGATATAAACCAGTCACCAAAGTTTCAAGAAAACTGCTCAAAGCACTTTAAAGATATTGTCCAAAAACTGGAAAATCACCCCTTTTTTATGAATAAAATCCCATCACTTGGAAATGTAAAATCGAAAATTTATAAAAATTGAAAAGGAGCTTACGTCAATAGATATAAACAATTCACCAAAGTTTCATAAAAACTGCTGAAAGCATTTTTAAGTTATTGTCTGAAAACTGGAAAATCCCCCTTTTTTTAGTGAATAAAACCCCAATAACTCTGAAACGTAAAATCTCAAATTTATAAAAATCGAAATGGAGCTCATGCCAATAGATATAAACAATTCACCAAAGTTTCTTGCAAATTGGTGAAAGTGTTTTTGAGTTATTGTACGAAAACTGGAAAATCCCCTTTTTTAATGAAAACAAGAGTGCACACGCTGAAATGTCTCGCCTTCTTTACTAATCATTGATATTATGTTGATAGTCCTAAATATAAAGCTTTATTACAACTGTCACATAAACTTAACATTAACCAAGAAAACTAAACATTGACCAATGAACCATGAAAATGAGGTCAAGGTCAGATGAACCATGCCAGGCAGACATGTACAGTTAACAATTCTTCCATATAACAAATATAGTTGACCTATTGCTTATAGTTTAAGAAAAACAGACCAAAACACAAAAACTTAACACTGAGCAATGAACCGTGAAAATGAGGTCAAGGTCATATAAAACCAGCGCGACTGACATATAGATCATATATTTTTTCCATACACCAAATATAGTTGACCTATTGCATATAGTATTAGAAAAAAAGACCAAAACTCAAAAAATTAACTTTGACCACTGAACCATGAAAACGAGGTCAAGGTCAGATGACACCTGCCAGCTAGACATGTACACCTTACAATCATTCCATACACCAAATATAGTAGATCTATTGCATACAGTATAAGAAAAACAGACCAAAACACAAAAACTTAACTATAACCACTGAACCATGAAAATGAGGTCAAGGTCAGATGACACCTGCCAGTTGGACATGTACACCTTACAGTCCTTCCATACACCGAATATACTAGACCTATTGCTTATAGTATCTGAGATATGGACTTGACCACCAAAACTTAACCTTGTTCACTGGTCCATGAAATGAGGTCGAGGTCAAGTGAAAAACTGTCTGACGGGCATGAGGACCTTGCAAGGTACGCACATACCAAATATAGTTATCCTACTACTTATAATAAGAGAGAATTTAACATTACAAAAAATGTTAACTTTTTTTTCAAGTAGTCACTGAACCATGAAAATGAGGTAAAGGACATTGGACATATGACTGACGGAAACTTCGTAACATGAGGCATCCATATACAAAGTATGAAGCATCCAGGTCTTCTACCTTCTAAAATATAAAGCTTTTAAGAAGTTAGCTAACGCCGCCGCCGGATCACTATCCCTATGTCGAGCTTTCTGCGACAAAAGTCGCAGGCTCGACAAAAAAAACATAACTTGGAAACTTAAAATCTAAAATTTATAAAAAACGAAAGGGAGCTCACGTCCAAAGATATAAACAATTCACCAAAGTTTCATGCAAATTGGTAAAAGCGTTTTTTGAGTTACTGTCAGACATGTTGACGACGGACGGACGGACAACGATATACCATAATACGTCCCGTAAACGGGCGTATAAAAATGATGCAAAACAAGTAAAATCAAGAAATTTTGCAAAATATACAAATTTTGACATGGTTTGTTGCTATGGTTACTCGTTTTAATGTAAAAATATTCTAATCACCTTGTACCGTAGTATTGTTGGTACAAATTCAAGAATATTTATGGTAACTTTGAAATTTGCACTAATATTTGGGTTGAATAAGGGCATTATTGCCCCCACTCTTTTAACCTCTAGCCGATGTATAATCAATTATTTATTAGAAATCATGATCTCAAAGCAACTAAGAACTTGTGAAATCCAGCGTTAAGCTTGTACAAGCGTAATGTTCTATGATTTCTCAGTTGTAAACAGCATTAATAAACTGTTAACACAGAGATGTGTCTCGCCTATTTGTTATTTTGATAATGCAAATGTTGAAATTAAAACAGCAATACTTTAACATGCAAGTTATGCAAATATTCAAAGCCAATGAACCATGACTGAAGGTACAGGGCTAAACAAATCTCCATAGAAATGAGATGTGCCAATGCTAATATAAATGCATACCAAATACCATTGACTTTTCATAAGTCAATGCCTTTAAACAAACCTAAACACAAACATTAACTTGTAAACTATGTAAAAGTTTCAAAGTCAATGAACCATGATGAGGGGGTGGGGCTATATTATCTCCATGGAAAAGAAACTTGCAAATCCCAATACATTTGCATACCAAATATCATTGACTTAACATTAGTGGTTCATCTTAAACTGACCTAATCACAAACTAATACATGTAATTTAAGCAAACTATGACTGAAGGTACTGGGCTAAATAATCTTCATGGAAATGAGATATGCCAATGCTAATACAACTGCATACCAAATATCATTGACCTACCACTAGTTGTTCACCTGATGATAAACTAGACCTAATCACAAACTAATATATTGTTGACGCTGCCGCTGCTGCCAGAAACGGCATACCTATATGTCTCGCTTTTTTGACTCTGCAAGAAACCAAAATATCCTAGTTTTTTTGCCTCTTTTTGACCCCTAATTCCTGAACGGTTTGGGCCATGACCCCCTAAATCAATCCCAACCTTCCTTTTATGGTATGGAACCTTATGGTAAAATTTCATAGAGATCCATACTATTATACACAAGTTATTGTCCTGAAACAAGAACAAGAGTGCACATGAAATGTCTCGCCTTCTTTACTAATCATTGATATTATGTTGATAGTCCTAAATATAAAGCTTTATTACAACTGTCACATAAATTTAACATTAACCAAGTAAACTAAACATTGACCAATGAACCATGAAAATGAGGTCAAGGTCAGATGAACCATGCTAGGCAGGCATGTACAGCTAACAATTCTTCCATACAACAAATATAGTTGACCTATTGCTTATAGTTTAAGAAAAACAGACGAAAACACAAAAACTTAACACTGAGCAATGAACCTTGAAAATGAGGTCAAGGTCAAATAAAACCTGCGTAACTGACATATAGATCATAAAATATTTCCATACACCAAATATAGTTGAACTATTGCATATAGTATTAGAAAAAAAGACCAAAACTCAAAAACTTAACTTTGACCACTGAACCATGAAAATGAGGTCAAGGTAAGATGACACCTGCCAGCTAGACATGTACACCTTACAATCATTCCATACACCAAATATAGCTGACCTATTGCATGCAGTATTAGAAAGAAAGACCAAACCTCAAAAACTTAACTTTGACCACTGAACCATGAAAATGAGGTCAAGGTCAGATGACACCTCCCTCATGAAAAAATGGTGTCTGAATTCTGTCTGACAAGTATTCTTAATTATTCTTATTTTTTTCTGAATAATGTCTGAATGGCTGTAATAATGTACATTTATGCAAATGTCTGAATTTTTGCTGGATTTCGGACTTTTAAGGAAAAATTCAGAACTTTCATACGAACATTCAGACAAAAATCAGAATAGCATTCAGACAAAAATCAGAATAATGTAAGAATAAATTAAGACATTATTCAGAATGAATTCAGAAAACTTCTGAACTTAATCAGAAAGATTAAGAAATAATCAGACAACATTCAGAAATATCCAGACAACATTCAGAAATATCCAGACAACATTCAGATGGATTCAGAAAGATTCAGAAGGATTCAGATATATTCAGAAAACATTCAGAATGATTCAAAATGTGGATATCCATACAAAACTTTGAAACTTATACAACAGAAATTCCCCTAAAAATCTAAAAAGAAGTTCTTGAAGTTGAATGAAAATCAATGTGCTTACACATTGATGATGGTCAAATACCCATAGCCTCTAAACAATAATAAAAAAATCCAAATTTTCAGGAAGTTTGTAAATTAATAGTTTCAATAACATAAAATTCAAACTTTAAATTTTCGATTCAATTTTATTATCTGATATGGATCTGTGATTCCCTGGTCTGTTCTTTTCCTGCCTCTCTTGAGTCTCCAGCTCTCTTTTCTTTATGAGTAAATTCCCTTCAAAATAGAACAGGATCATTTCACATAAAAAATTATATCAAGTAAGTGCAGGTATCTTGTGACCTGAGTAAATAAACTAGAGGCTCTCAAGAGCCTGTGTTGCTCACTTGACTCTAATTAGGTTTTTGAAATCATATAAAAAAAGATAAAAATCATAACAGATACTTAAATAATGATAGAGGCCAAATTTGGTTTAATATTGCATTCCATTCTGTGGTTCTCTAAAATAAGACATTTGTATTTATTTCTCAGAGGGTCTTATGTTAAGCTAAGTCCCCAGCTGGCAGCCATCTTGGATGATGGATCGCTACAAAGTAATAACACTTGGTCAGCACCTCATAAGGAACATTCATGCTATGTTTGGTTTCATTTCATTCAGTAGTTCTCTAAAAGAAGACATTTGTATGTATTTTCCATAGGGTTCTATGTTAAACTAAGTCCCCCGCTGGCAGCCATCTTGGTTGATGGATCGTCTACAAAGTAACAACACTTGGTCAGCAGCTCATAAGCAACATTCATGCTATGTTTGGTTTCATTCCATTTAGTGGTTTTCTATAAGAAGACATTTGTATGCATTTCCCATAGGGTCCTATGTTAAACTAGGTCCCCGGCTGGCGGCCATCTTGGATGATGGATCGGCTACAAAGTAACAACACTTGGTTAGCATCTCATAAGAAACATTTATGGCTTTTTTATGCTATGTTTAGTATCATTTCATTCACTGGTTCTCTAAAAGAAGACCTTTGTATGTATTTCCCATGGGGTCCTATGTTAAACTAAGTCCCCTGCTGGCGGCCATCTTGGATGATGGATCGGTTACAAAGTAACAACACTTGGTCAGCACCTCATAAGGAACATTCATGCTATGTTTGGTTCCATTCCATTCAGTGGTTCTCTAAAAGAAGACAATTGTATGTATTTCCCATAGGGTTCTATGTTAAACTAAGTCCCCCCCTGGCGGCCATCTTGGATGATTGATCGGCTACAAAGTAACAACACTTGGTCAGCACCTCATAAGGAACATTTATGCCATGTTTGGTTTCATTCCATGCAGTGGTTTTCTAAAAGAAGACATTTGTATGCATTTCTCATTGGGTCCTATGTTAAACTAGGTCCCCCGCTGGCGGCCATCTTGGATGATGGATCGGCTACAAAGTAACAACACTTGGTTAGCATCTCATAAGAAACATTTATGGCTTTTTTATGCTATGTTTAGTATCATTTCATTCACTGGTTCTCTAAAAGAAGACCTTTGTATGTATTTCCCATGGGGTCCTATGTTAAACTAAGTCCCCCGCTGGTGGCCATCTTGGATGATGGATCGGTTACAAAGTAACAACACTTGGTCAGCACCTCATAAGGAACATTCATGCTATGTTTGGTTCCATTCCATTCAGTGGTTCTCTAAAAGAAGACAATTGTATGTATTTCCCATAGGGTTCTATGTTAAACTAAGTCCCCCCCCCCCCCTGGCGGCCATCATGGATGATTGATCGGTTACAAAGTAACAACACTTGGTCAGCACCTCATAAGGAACATTTATGCCATGTTTGGTTTCATTCCATGCAGTGGTTCTCTAAAAGAAGATATTTGTATGCATTTCTCATAGGGTCCTATGTTAAACTAAGTCCCCCGCTGGCGGCCATCTTGGATGATGGATCGGCTACAAAGTAACAACAATTGGTCAGCACCTCATAAGGAACATTCATGCCATGTTTGGTTCCATTCCATTCAGTGGTTCTCTAGAAGAAGTTCAAAATGTAAAAAGTTAACGACGACGACGGACTTCGGGCCAGGTGAGGTAAAAACAACTTCAAGCTAATAAAAGAACAGAATTCCAATGTCCCCTGTGTTGCATATGTCTTGTCTGCCCAGGGACAACAACTAAAATTCCACAAATTCTTGTTTGAACTGTTAGTAATTCTCTATAATATTTCTTTCTATTTCCCTAAATCCAAATCTTGACATTGATGATGTAAGCCATTGATATACATTTTATAAAAATCTGGCATAAATTTTACATATGAGTGCTATTTTCTATATAAAATTAACATTTCTAAGAGACTTAACTCCTATTAAAATAATTTATAACCTCTGATATTTCGACTTGTCCCATATACACATGTATTGCTTATACAAATTTATAGTACAATGTACATGTATTAGTTTTCAATGTATATGCAAAAAATGTAGGAATTCATTATTTCAAATATATTTGGAATTTTAGTGCTTTATATTGTCATGTGTAATGAATGTGTCAGCGTTATAGCTAAATTTAAGGTATTGGCTTTAAATTTAACGGCTGTATGGTGACCTATAGCTATTATTGCTCTCATCTACATTTGTAAAGCATTTATATAGTACATGTAGATAGTTGTCTCATTGGAAAACATACCACACTTCCAGCTTATTTTTATACTATTAAAACTAAAGCATGTACATACCAGATACTGTTGATCTGCACCATTTTTCTTTTTAATAGTTCTGTTGAAAATCATGAACATAAAGTCATAAGTCTCATTCACTGACGTCTGACGAGCCAATTCTAAAAATTAAATATAAGTATCAATACCGACACCTAAATTTATGAATTCTTATAAAATATTCATCAGTTGTCAAAGTGAAAATCAAAAAGAGCCATCAGAAAACACTTTGTTTAAATGTGATGGGTTGTGTTTTTTTTAGAAAGATATATTGGAAATAATCAATTAAAGTTTTATCAGTGCTGATTGAAAACAAAAAGTGTCTTACGACCCCCTTCGCTTGGAACCTAACAGCCCATACTGTGATTTTAAATAGATAACGCACAAGTAACATGTGCAACTAATATATATAATCGAAGGTAAGTTGACATCAAAGTGAAGTATTTGCGACTGGATGTAAAGCAAAAAATCATCAATTTAATATTCTTTCCAAGATTAACCATTTTTAGTGTAAGTATAGTTAGGAGAATTAATTTTTACAAAGTTTTCATTGTTTTACCAGTACTATTTTCATAGAGCTTACGCTATATGATTTTGGCACTAATATACTCATTGACTATGCCAAGGAGAAAAAATGAATATTTGTATATTCTTATAAATTGTAAGGTTGCTGTGACTTATTTTGTGTCTCTTCTGTGTCATTCTTACCTCAAAACAATTGGTGTTTTCCCACATTATCATAAACGCATTGATGCAGATCATCTTTCATCTAACTTCAAATGGCCCAGATCTTTTAAAAGAAGTGAATATTGTTTTTTATTGTTATCAATCAATTAAAACCATACTAAATATTATTTTTAAACACATGCACATTTAACTTAAGCTACAACAATCTCTTCAATCATACGTATGTTCTCTATAAAATAGTATGTGTGGTTCCAGTTACATCTAAAAAAAAAGTTAGGGTAGGTAGGTAGGGATTTAATAGCCTACCATATTCTATGTGCCTGTACCAAGTCAGGAGCATGTAATTGAGTGGTTGTTGTGTTTTGCTGTTTGTCATATTTGTTTTTCTTTTAATGTTTTGCATAGTTTGTTCGAATATTGTGCCACAACACCACTGTCCCGGCTGGTGCAATCAAATTTAGTTTAACTCCACATTCTATATGTGCCTGTCCAAAGTCAGGAGCCTGTAGTTCAGTGGTTGTTGTTGTTTCATGTACTGTCATGCAATATCTCTTGTTTTCGTTAATTGTTTTGTAATAAATTGGACTTTTAATTTTCTCAATTGAATTGTTTCATATTTTTCTTGTCATGACCGATTAAAGCCGTCCATACATGGTATAGGTTTGCCTCATAGTTAAAAAGTGACAAACAAATTTTACAGGAACCTTTGTAATGTCCAGTCATGGTGGATAAATAGCTATAAGTTGTATGGTCCACACACAAGTCACAAAAATAAGAAAAGTAGGAAGTGCATAATGACATACTTGTATTTAGTCTTAGACATGTTAGATGCATGATTATTTTTATTAGTTGTTAGTGGCTTTGAACTAGCTGTCAGTTTATACTTCAAGTACTTTCAGATCAGTACTTAGACCTGCCACGTCCACTCTGTGTTTTTGTTAGATGTATTTTATTTGTATCCATCTGATGAGTTAAGTGCCTTTTTCAAGGCCTAAGGCCGTTTGTTTTCTCATTTGAATTGTTTTACATTTGTCATTTCGGGGCCTTTTATAGCCGACTATGTGGTATGGGCATTGCTCATTGTTGAAGGCTGTACGGTGACCTATAGTTGTTAATTTCTGTGTCATTTGGTCTCTTGTGGAGAGTTGTCTCATTGGCAATCATACCACATCTTTTTTATATACACCTTATCCCTATTCCCGGCTGACCCGAGAATCTGTCCTGCTTGAACTATTGACGTCATACAACAATCCCTTTTCCATTGTGGCGTCATATATTTTGTATGATGATGTCAAAATTTTACGGGGAACCTGTGTGAAGTCCAGTAATGGCGGACAAATAATGATAAGGTGTATTGTAATTAAAATACTGTAAATTCAGAATTATTGCGTGCATTTATTATTGAGATATTGTCATTTAAACTAAAGTGCGATTTTAAATTTTGCGATATTGAGACAAATCCTGTTCACTTCATATACAAAATTTCAAAATCATTAATGCGAGTTTAAATTATTGCGATTACAACCCTGTCGCATTTTTCGGAATAATAAAAACATCGCATTAATTTCTGAATTAATAGTAATACTTTTTGTGAAATCTTTATTAAGAAATTTTTAATTGTTCGTTCATCATGAAATGGCCATTTTATTTTGCGTTCTTCCGTGCAGATACCCACCCCCCTTTTACGCCCCTCATTGAATGGTAAGTAATTTCATTGCTTTTCTGTGACACCTTGCTTCTGCTCAGCAAGACTATAAACATAGCCTTAAAACTACAAGACCTCATAATGATTTGGACTATGTTTACCCATATTATATTACATGTTTTGAATTTTGCATTGAATAAATATTGTATAATCTGACTTTATAAGGGAACGACCATTCAATATTCTGTTACAGGAGGAGGCAGGATGAATTTTGGAATATTTATTTTGTGATTCCTGATTGTTTTATTTTTTTGTTGTAAAAAAAGATATTTTCACACATATTTAAGTCTTAAATATCTTTTATTTTGGTGGGTAAAATAATTTTTCATTCTGATATCTTTAAGGGCAAGGCAAGATTATTCATTTTCCAAATCCACTGCTCCCACCCACAATATTAAATGGCCGTTTCCAAATAAAAAAATTGTCATTGAAATGGACTCATACCCGTTGGCGTTTCGTTGGGGACATCATTATTGACATTGTTCTTAGCCTGTGCAGGCTGTGGTGGATAGTTGTATGTGCGGTTGGATTGACACTGACAGTTCACAAGTTGTAGTCAATTTTCTGGGCAAGTTGAAAACCATCTTCTGAATGGCAGACCACATCTTTTCCTATGATTATGAAGGCATTGAAGCTGTTATATACAAAGGTTCTTGTTAATCTGTTCTGCAGCGTTCTTTCGTCGTCTGCGTCACAAGATCTAGATCTCAGCAGTGTTTTAACATGAAAACCGACTCCGAATCATTTTCCGGATTATAGACTTTTACGCTCACCGATTACTATTTAAAAATCGTCGGGAATAAATAAATCGTACAAGGAAAATCTTACCTAATTTCTGAATCTAATATAATACACGTGTTATAGAAGTCTTAGCTTACTTGTATGATTAATTTGTGGAGATTTTCAAGCAATTTACTATTAATATCCGTCTACTGAAATTTCCAGTGTATTTACTGGGACTATTATACTAACTGTTCTTCTTTTTCCGAATACGGGAGTTAGTAGAGTCCTAGGTGGGAGTGTAAAACTTCCCGGAACCTGTGTGCTATGTACATATGGACTTAATTAAAATTAATATAACAAGGAAAAAATAGTTAACAATAACATATATATATATATATACATTATGTACAGTGGCTTGGTAGTTTAATAAGTTGTTGTGGGTCCTTCAAATGATATTGTAATAGTCCCAGGTATTTACCACTGACGTATTTTACGTAGGAAGTTATACAAATGGACAGGAAAAACGGGATTTTTTTTAGGCATTTATCATTAAAACAATTAACCTGCTAACCGAGTTTCTGTGAAAAAAACGGCCTGGAGTCCGAACATCAAATCTGGTTGGGTACCATATCGTTTGTATAGACTGTCCCTGTGCGAACTGATCGTATATAATCCACTTATAATAAAAGGCAACTTTTAAAAACGTCATCATATTTTCCCTACTGGAGCCTCACCGATAATTGATTCCTGTCAATCAAGTAAACATTTAACCCGGTATCTTAATTTCCCACCAATCTTACCTCGTGCAGTCAACACGCTTTTGTATTTCGATGTCAGTTATGTTTAACATTTCTATTTTGAAAGCAATGTCAAGTCCCAATGCTCAAGCAGTTGATTGTATAATTTATGCAATACACAAATCGTATCAAAAACGAAATTTTTGTAAGCGATGTCAATTGTTAGTTGATAGCATAATTTCTGCAATAAATATTACCTTTTAAAAACGGAATTGACTTATACTTAGTAGATCAATGATTTGATCTTTTTTGGAATTTTAAAACTTGTCGGTGAAAAAACCCAATGAATAACGGGCGATCTGAATCTGATGAAAACTGTTTGTTATTCACCCAAACTTTTATATTTGTTGAATTTATTGAAAACAAAACATTGCTGATGAAAGCAGTGCCGAAATTTTTCTTTAAAAATATATATTGGAATGTTATCAGTGAAACTCGGCTTACACTTTTTATCTCGTGATCTAGAAATAGAAAAACTAGAAAAAAATTCCCGTAATTTTACTAATAAAGGAGCTATTATTTGATGTTTAGGGGGAGGGTTAGGATGGAATTTGAAAAAAAGAGTTTTGAGTAAAAAAAAAAGACACGATGAGCAACTTGGCAAAAAAAGGCAGGACGAAAATTTATACAAAAAGTCAGGATAAGAAAATGGCAGGACTGATTAGAGCGAAAATAAGTATTCAGGACGGAGATTACAACTAAATAAAACGCAGGACAACATTTTTCATCCTAGCCCCACCCCCACCCCTAATAATCAAATGGTAACTCCCGAAGTGGACGTATGTTTTTGACAAACAACAATGCACTTTTACTCTGACAGCAGCAAAAGTGTGAGACACATATGGTTTCATAGAAACCATTTACATTTTTTTTTTAATATAAAAAACATTCCAGACATCAGTTGTTTAATTTTTATTAATACTCGTCAACGAATATTCCATATTTTCTTTTTTCCTCTTGTCTGAAAACATTTTACATCGTTAAGCTGTTCTTTCGTTAAGCTATTCTTTCGTTTGACTGCATCTGTTTTGACCTTGAAAGAGTATCAACATAATGGGAGGGGGGGGGGGGGGGGGGGTCTTTTGGCTCTCCATATATACTGTGCCGCTTTCAATGGGTATCTTTCAATTAGATCAGATCCAAATTGTATATATGTGATAATCTGGGAACTATGTTCCTGGTGATAACTAAGAAATAAATGAATGACGATGAATGGGGTTTAAAATACCAGCAGCACCTCTGTACCTAAATTGGGTCACTTCTTAGGAATTTCGAATATATCAATGGGGTCCTATTTCACGGATCAACATGTTTGTTAAATGCAATGAAACAGATATAATTGCTAAGAACGACATTTCTCTTTGTTTTATATACAAAATGGCATTCCTTTTATACAGTTATCCTCGATATTTTTGCACATTGAAAATTTCGTAATACACAGGAATACAGAAACGATAATTCCTAGAGTTTCGTCTCTCCTTGAAGAAACAAAAAATCGAGACATATATATAGGTGTGCTGTTTCCGGCATCGGCGACGGCAGTGGCTTTGAACAACGTATTACAAGTTAATTTGTCACTGTGAAACTTTTGCTTAGTTTACTTTTATTAGTTTGATAAGGTCAGTTTATGGGGAACCACTAGTGGTAGGTCAATGATATTTGGTATGCAGTTAAACTAGCATTGGTGCACCTCATTTCCATGGAAATTATTTGACCCTGCACCCTCTGTCATGGTCTATTGACTTTGAAACTTTTGCTAAGTCTTCATGTATTAGTTTGTGATTAGGTCAGTTTATGGGGAACCACTAGTTGAACTAGCATAGTACATACATCCTCATTTCCATTGCGATTATTTGACCATACCCCCTCAGTCATGGTCTATAGATTTTGAAACTTTTGCTTAGTTTACAACTGTATTAGTTTGTGATAAGGTCAATTAATGCATGGGGAACGTATTGTGATATGTCAATGATATTTGGTATGCAGTTTAACTGGCATTGGTACATCTCATTTCCATGGAGATAATCTGACCCTGCTCCATCTGTCATGGTCTATTGATAATTGGTATGCAAATTATTTATTAGCATTGGCACATTTCATTTCCATGGAGATTGTTTGGCCCTGTACCTTCAGTCATGGTTCATTGACTTTGAATATTTTGTATTACTTACATATTAAACTATTACTATTTTGATTTCAACATTTGCATTTTAGTGTCAACATAACAAAAAGGTTAGTCATCTGTGTCAACAATTTATTAAACATAGTTCTGACACATTTAGAAAAATTAAGACATTTTTCAGAAGTTCTGAATTTGTCTGAATCATATTCTTACTGATACAGACAGATTCTCAATTCGTCTAACATTCTTAAACATAATTCTGACACTTTCAGAACAATTCAGACACTTTTCAGAAGTTCTTAATTTGTCTGAATAAAATTCTTATTGATTCAGAAATATTCAGCAAAAATCCAGAATTGTCAGCATCAATTCAGAATAGAAATATCGGGATTCAGAAAAATTCAGACACCATTTATCATGTAAGACAATTTCAGCAAAAATTCAGACATTTTCAGACAAATTCAGACAATAATCAGAATTTTTTTTTCATGAGGGCTGCCAGCTAGACATGTACACCTTACAATCATTCCATACACCAAATATAGTAGACCTATTGCATACAGTATAAGAAAAACAGACCAAAACACAAAAACTTAACTATAACCACTGAACCATGAAAATGAGGTCAAGGTCAGATGACACCTGCCAGTTGGACATGTACACCTTACAGTCCTTCCATACACCGAATATACTAGACCTATTGCTTATAGTATCTGAGATATGGACTTGACCACCAAAACTTAACCTTGTTCACTGATCCATGAAATGAGGTCGAGGTCAAGTGAAAACTGTCTGACGGGCATGAGGACCTTGCAAGGTACGCACATACCAAATATAGTTATCCTATTACTTATAATAAGAGAGAATTTAACATTACAAAAAATCTGAACTTTTTTTTCAAGTAGTCACTGAACCATGAAAATGAGGTCAAGGACATTGGACATGTGACTGACGGAAACTTCGTAACATGAGGCATCCATATACAAAGTATGAAGCATCCAGGTCTTCCATCTTCTAAAATATAAAGCTTTTAAGAAGTTAGCTAACGCCGCCGCCGCCGGATCGCTATCCCTATGTCGAGCTTTCTGCGACAAAAGTCGCAGGCTCGACAAAAATGCTTGTTTTTGGTACTATTTTGACCCCTCATTCCTAAACAGCAAAGACAATAATCCCCAAAATCAATCCCAACATTCCTATTGTGGTATGCAACCCTGTGCTACAATTTCATAGATATCCATACACTTATACTCAAGTAATTGTCTGGAAACCAAAATGTCTTCGTACGACGACGCAGAAAACTGCCATAATTTAATACGAACGCAAAATTTTGCAGTCGTATAAAAATGCATGCTACTTATGAGCATACAAAAACAAATACATATTTACAGTGTTCATAAACAAATGTATATTATTACGAGGATGAAATCGGTAGTAATGCTATCAACAAGAATTTACGCACTACTTATTGGTTTTTAATGCTGTTTACAACTGAGAAATCATAGAACATTACGCTTGTACAAGCTTAACGCTGGATTTCACAAGTTCTTAGTTGCTTTGAGAATAAATAATTGATTATACGTCGGATAGAGGTTAAAGGAGTCAGGGAAATAAGGCCCTTATTCGGCCCAAATATTAGTGCATATTTCAAAGTTACCATAAACATTCTTGAATTTGTACCAACAATACTACGGTACAAGGTGATTAGAATATTTTCACATTAAAACAAGTAACCATGGCAACAAACCATATCAAAATTTGTATATTTTGCAAAATTTCTTGATTTTACTTGTTTTGTATCATTTTTTGTGTATGATTTAGATCGGAAAAATATGTGCCCACCCAAGAAACAACTTTATATTTGGTGAGATTATGTAAATAGCTATAGGTACTAAAGCTTCTCTATAATATTTTGTTGTTTCCTGGCTGCGCACAATGTTTCCAAAAACATGAAAAAGGAAATATGGTTGGAAAACTGCAAAAAATCACCAGTTTTCTTTGTTTTTCGTGAAAAGGGCCCAAAAATCTGGTGTAATCCATTATGTTTCTTGATCTTATGCATTTACAAACATTATGTGCAAATTTGGATACACCCGCAGAGGTCCAACCCTGAACAGTTTGGGCAAAAATGGACACAATATTCAAACTTGATACCGGTCTGAATTTGGATTGTAATTAGATATTTGATATATTATAGGTTTCTGAATAAATGTAGTCAAAGAACTTGAAATTGGTTATACGAAAGATTTCTTGCTGTTGTGCAATACACTGTGCTGTTGGGCAATACTTAGTAAATCTGTTGTCAGACTATAAACAAATAAAATCTTATAACTCTGAAATGTAAAATCAAAAATTTATAAAAATCAAAAGGGAGCTTACAAAAATAGATATAAACAATTTACCAAAGTCTCATAAAAAATGCTGAAAGCATTTTTGAGTTATTGTCCGAAAACTGGAAAATCCCCCTTTTTGTAATGAATAAAACTCCATAAATATATATTCTGAAATTTATAAAATGAAAGGGAGCTCACGTCAATTGATATGAACAATTCACAAAAGTTTCATGCAAATTGGTGAAATTGTTTTTGAGTTATTGTCCAAAAACTGGAAAATCCCCCCTTTTTTAATGAATAAAACCCCAAAACTCGAAAATGGTAAATCTGAAATTTATTAAAAACGAAAGGGAGCTCACCAAAGTTTCATGCATATTGTTTAAAGCATTTTTGAATTAATGTCCGACATGTTGATGACGTACGGACGGACAGACGGTCAGCGGTATACCATAATACGTCCCGTAAACAGGCGTATAAAAAGTATTTCAAGATAACGCCAAAATAGCAAACAAGCACCATTGTTTTCCTTTTTTGTCAAATGCTTGTAAGGTTTTGTGTCATGAAATAACCTGTATTTCCAGTGTATATAATGTACAATGGCAACAAAGGTGGTTTCAGAATTCCGATTCATTTCACCGTTGAGGTGCAATTTTACGTCAAATTCCTTCAAAATTATTTTTAAGATTCCTCATGAAAATCTAAATTGAGATTTATAAAGAAAGAGGTAAGGCCAATTGTCTGGTATTTGTTTCACTCATAAAGTCAAAATGCAAAAGTTGTCAAATCCTACTAGAATTCAAATTCTTTATCATATTCCTCAAAAAATTTCCAACAATTGAAAATGTAATTCGATGATATATGTTGATGTTGCAGGCATTTTGATACAAAACTGAATATTTAACATATTTTGTGTAAAACTTTGCATCGAAGGACTTCACTATCAACACGAAATAATGCATATAAAAAGACAATACATAACTCTGCTTACAACATGATTTTGGTTTTGGTGAGAATGTCCTTCTCATACATTTTTGGATAAATACACAAATTGACGGTTTTAGATCACTGTTATTTAATTTACAAGAACAATAAAATGCTCTGCTGAGCGCAGCTGGATACAACCGCAGAGGCCAAACCCTGAATAGTTGGGGCAAGTATGGACACTACATTCAAGGTTGATACAGCTCTGAATTTGGATTGTGATTAAATATTTGACACAGCATAGGTTTCTGACACAGAATGAATGTGGTCAAAGAACTGAAAAATGTGAAATTGGACTTTTACCTATTATGGTCCAATATCCAAAATCTAAATACACGGTTAGATTCAGCATTTCCAAGTACATCAAGAATTCAATGTATTTATTCATTGATGGACAAAAATTAGCTAAACTTTTAAAGGAGTTGGCTTCATAAAATTATTTTTTTTATATATCGCATTCTGCAAATCAATTTATACAGAATAGCAAACTAACTTACCATAAAGTTCTTAAAAAAATTGACAAAATAATGAAAATTAAATGCTTCGCCAAGCGCAGCCTGATACGACCACAGAGGTTGAACCCTGAACAGTTGGGGCAAGTTTGGACACAATATTCAAGCTTGATACTGTCTGAATTTGGATTGTGATCAAATTTTTTACATAATATAGGTTTCTGACACAAAATAAATGTGGTCAAAGATCTTAAAAATTTGAAATGGGACATTTAATTTACCTAGTATGGTCTGATATCCAAAATCTAACAACATGGTGATATTCAGCATATAAAAAAACACCAAAAATTTAATTTAAGTTGAAATCAAACAAAGTTTAATTTTGAACCCTTCAAACCTTAATATGGACTAATTTGAAAACAGGGCCCAAAATAAAAAATCTAAATGCACAATAAGATTCAACATATCATAGAGCCGCAATAATTCAGTTTTTGATGAAATCAAAAAAAGTTTAATTTTGGACCCTTTGGACCTCAATGTAGACCAATTTAAAAATGGGGCCCAATATCCAAATTAGTAATACAGGGTTAGAACCCCCAAAAATTAATGACTTTAAATTAATCCCATTGAAATTGGTTAAAAGATTTGTATTTATTTTCAATTGAAGATTTCTTGCTATTGCGCAATACTGTGCTGTTGCACAATACTTAGTTAATCTGTTATATATAATAATTTACACACCCTGTTTGGTGTGTATTTCCTGCCATATCAGTATTTGTTGCTTTTATATATAAATCAGAAATAATCAATGTAAAAATGGAAAATTTTTTGGGGAAAAAAACCCCCCAAAAATTATGAAAAATAATCCCCCCCCCCCCCCCCCCCAAAAAAAAATGGAAAAATGTACAATGTCAGAGAGTTTCATAAACTTGAACACAAGTTATTGTCTGGAAACTAGAAAAATGCTTGTTTTTTTCCCCTTTTTTGTCCCTAATTCCTGAACGTTTGGGCCTTTACCCCCAGACTCAATCCCAGCCTTCCCTTTGTGATATGGAACCTTGTGGTACAATTTCTGAGAGATCCATACACTTACACACAAGTTATTGTCCGGAAACTACAAAAATGCTTGTTTTTGGCCCCTTTTTGGTCCCTAATTCCTAAACTGTTTGTACCATAACCCCCAAAATCAATCCCAACCTTCCTTTTGTGGTATTGAACCTTCTGGTAAAATTTCATAGAGATCCATTCACTTGAACACAAGTAATTGTCCCGAAACCAAATGTGTCTTCGGATGACGACGACATGATAGCATTATAAATTTTTTGTGGTCGTATAAAAATCTAAATACAGTTAGATTGGACATATCAAAGAACACCAATAATTCAATTTTTGATGAAATAAAAAAAAAGCTTAATTTTGGACCACAATTTGGACCAACTTGAATACTGTGCCCAAAATCAAAAATCTAAATACACGCTTAGATTCAGCACAACAAAGAAACCCAAGAATTCAATTTTTTTTAAATCAAACAGTCTAATTTTGGACCCTTTGGACCTTAATAAGGACCAATTTGAAGACAGGCCCCAAAATAAATAAAATGCTCCGCTGGGCGCAGCTTGATACGACTGCAGAGGTCGAACCCTGAACAGTTGGGGCAAGTATGGACACAACATTCAAGCTTGACACAGCTCTGAATTTGGATTGTGATTAAATATTTGACACAGCATAGGTTACTGACACAGAATGAATGTGGTCTAAGAAATTAAAATTTTTTAATTTACCTATTATGGTCAGATATCCAAAATCTAAATACATGGTTAGATTCAGCATATCAAAGAATCAAAAGAATTCTATTTTTGATGAAATCAAACAAAGTTTGTTTTTGGACCCTTTTGACCTCAATGTGGACCAATTTGATAACAGGGACCAAAAATCAAAATACATGATTAGATTCAGCATTTCAAAGAACCCCATATATTCAATTTTTGTTGAAATCAAACAAAGTTTAATTTTGGACCCCAACTTGGACCAAATTGAAAACTGTGACCATAATCAAAAATCTAAACACATGTTTAGATTCAGCATATCAAAGAACCCCAAGAATTCAATTTTTGTTAAAATCAAACTAAGTTTAATTTTGGACCCTTTTGACCTCAATATGAACTCATTTGATAGTGGGGCCTACAAATAAAAAATCTAAATACATGGTTAGATTCAGCATATCAAAGAACCCCATATATTCAATTTTTGTTGAAATCAAACAAAGTTTAATTTTGGACCCCAATTTGGACCAACTTGAAAACTGGGCCCAAAATCAAAAATCTAAATACATGTTTAGATGAAGCATATCAAAGAACCCCATATATTCAATTTTTGTTAAAATCAAACTAAGTTTAATTTTGGACCCTTTTGACCTTAATGTAGACCAATTTGAAAACTGGACCCAAAATTAAAAATCTAAATACACGGTCAGATTCGGCATAACAAATAAATTAATGTGGTCATAGATTTTACATATTTAATGCGCCATACTGTGCAATTAAAGATTACTTCTTGAAATTTTTCAATATTTGAAATCTGAAAAAAAAATAATATTTGAAGAATAATTCTTTTTAATTTCTGAAATCTGAAATGAAAAAAAATTGACCCCCCACAATTTCTTTTTAGCTTCCCCCCTCCCTTTTTCCCCCAAAAAAATTCTTTCCCTCAAGATATGGTCATAATCTCAATTCAAATTTCCAATGGAATTTGCAACCATAATTACCCATTTAAATTTACCATAGTGCTAACTTAATATATTTTATAATAGAATTTAAAATATGGTGTCAAATCTTTCATATGGATTTTTTTGTAAAAAAAAAAAGATGCAACATTTGCAGATATTTTTACTGGTCTTCCTTTAGAAATATGCATTTCTTTAAACATAATTTAAAAGCAGTGTAAGGGAGGTAATTCAAATGATGTATTTGATTTATCTCCCTTACACTGCTTTAAATTATGTTTTATACTAAAGTATTCGTCCATTAACCAGGACAACCTTGTTTTTCCCCCTTTTTTGCCCCTAATTCCTAAAGGGTTTGAGCCATAACCCCCCAAAGCAAATCCTAACCATCCCTTTGTGGTATGGAAACTTGTGGTATAATTTCAGAGAGATCCATACACCGTTCCACAAGTTATTGTCTGGAAACTAGAAAATGCTTATTTTTGGCCCCTAATTCCTTAACTGTTGGTACAATAACCCCCAAAATCAATCCCAACCTTCCTTTTGTGGTATTTAACCTTATGGTAAAATTTCATAGAGATCCATTCACTTAAACTAAAGTTAGGGTGCGAAAACCAATGTGTCTTCGGACGACGACGACAATGACGATGCCAACGTCATACCAATATACGACTGTGGTCGTATAAAAATCAAAATACACAGTTAGATTCTGCATATCAAAGAACACCAGTAATTCAATTTTTAATGAAATCAAACAAAGTTTAATTTAGGACCCTTTAGACCTTAATATTGACCAATTCAAAAACAGGGTCCAATATCTAAATTCTAAATACACAGTTAGATTCAGCATATTAAAGAACCCCAAGAATTCAAGACTTTGAATTAAACCCCATTGATATTGGTCAAGAAATAAGCAATTTATACTAAGTATTACAAAAGTATTGTTTTGGCCTCTTTTTCCTAAACTGTTAGGGTCATAACCCCCAAAATCAATCCAAACCTTCCTTTTATGGTATGGAACATTGTGGTACAATTTAATAGCAATCCATAGACTTATACTCAAGTTATTGTCCAGAAACCAGAAAATCCTAGTTTTTGGGCCCCTAATTCCTTTAATCAGTATTGGTATATGCATTTTCATAACCAGGAGTTACATTTTTTGTTCAGCTAAATTAATCAATGAATGATGGATTTTCAAGGAGAAATCTAAACTTTCCATTGAATAAACTTTAGGGAGAACAAAAGCTATTGTATTTATTCAATGGGACTGCTCAACTTGCAAAATTTTAAATGGACAGATTATCTATAACTGATTCTGGGAAAGGTTTCATTTCTTTCGCAATAACAATTTCTACCTTTTTTGTTACAAACGCATACTTTTTTTTTATAGGTACATACCTAAGTAGATGTTCTACTCCAACTTCTTCTGCTTCCTCAGCACCTATTTCACTTGGAACATGGTCAAATGTTTTTGATGTTGGAGTTCCATCCTAAAAGTATTCACATGCGTGAAACAAACAGCCATCAAATGATTTCTGTGATACATGAAAGTCATTAACAACATTACAATAGCAATATAATATAAGATTTCTATATTTTAAACAATTGTTACCTTCCACATTTACAATACATTGCAACAGTCTGAACAGTAGACTGCAGGACAACAGCTACACATTACTTTAAAGCAAAAGTTTTATAGTCAATAGACCATGACTGAGGGGGTGGGACCAAATACTCTCCACAACTAGATGCTCTAAAGAGCATGTGTTCCTCACCTGCATCTTGAACAATGGCCACTTTTTAGTAAAAATCATCATTATAATTTATAGGGGAATAACTCTATTTAAGAGCTGACTGACAATTTCAGTCATATTGACATATTTATAGATCTTATCCTGCTGATCATTTTTCTTCTTTTTAAAGGTTCAATTTATCTATTTACACAAAAATGGTAAAAATTATCAGTAAAGGGCAATAACTCCAATAATGAGTTGACTTAAGATTTCATCCATGATGGCTTCCTTGTAGATCTTGTTTTCCTGATCATTTTTGATGTTTGAAGTTTCCATCTATCTATCATAATTTTGAGATAATAGGCAAAAATGCAAAAATTAGAAAACAAGAGGCTCTCAAGAGCCTGAATCGCTCACCTGTAATTTTTTGCTTAAATCTTTCATCAATGATTATTTTTGCTTTTCAATATATTTTAATGAGTGGCTTAAAAATGCCATTTAAATGTTCTTTGTATCTGTCATATTTTCTTCAAAAGTAAAACTAGAGGCTCTCAAGAGCCTGTGTCGCTCACCTGTATTTACTGATGCTTTGGAAATCATGTAAAATAAGGTTAAAATCATAATTAATAGTATTAGATATTAGATATTATAATGATATCTAAGATAATAACAAAAAACTGCAAAATTTTTGTAAAATTACTAACTCAGGGGCAGCAACCCAACAACAGGTTGTCGGATTCGTCTGAAAATTTCAGGGCAGATAAATCTAAATCTGATGAACATTTTTGCCACCTGTCAGATTTGCTCTAAAAGCTTTAGTTTCAGAGATATAAACCAAAAACTGCATTTTACCCCTATGTTCTATTTTTAACCAAGTCGGCCATGATGGTTGGAAGGCGGGGTCATCGGACAAATTTTTTAAACTAGATACCCTAATAATGATTATGGCCAAGTATGGTTAAATTTGTCTCAATAGTTTCAGAGAAGAAGATTTTTGTAAGAGATTACAAAAATTTACAAAAAATTGTTAAAAATTGACTATTAAGGGCAATAACTCCTAAAGAGGTCGACTGACAATTTTGGTCATGACAACTTATTTGTAGATCTTACTTTGCAGAACATTATTGCTGTTTACAGTTTATCTCTATCCATAATAATATTCAAGATAATAACCAATAAAATGCTCCGCAATATTGTGCTATTGGATATTTCTTGCTATTGCGCAATACTGTGCAATTGAAGATTTCTTGCTATTGCGCAATACTGTGCAATTGAAGATTTCTTGCTATTGTGCAATACTGTGCAATTGAAGATTTCTTGCTATTGTGCAATACTGTGCAATTGAAAATTTCTTGCTATTGCACAATACTTATTATATAATAATTTACACATCCTGTTTGGTGTGTATCTCCTACCATATCATTATTATTTGCTTTTAAATATAAATCAGAAATAACCAACTTAAAATCGAAAATTTTAAAAGAAAAAAAAAGGAAAAAAGAAAAAAAATGAAAAAAAAAAAAAAATCCCCCCCCCCCAACTTTTTTGAACCCCCTTATGATTCATCACCCCCAAACTCAATCCCAGCCTTCCCTTTGTGGTATGGTACCTTGCAGTTCAATTTCAGAGAGATCCATACACTTGAACACAAGTTATTGTCTGGAAACTAAAAAAATGTGTTTTTTGGCCCCTTTTTGGTCCCAAATTCCTGAACGTTTATGGCAATTACCCCCAAACTCAAACCCAGCTTTTCATTTGTGATATGGAACCTTGTAGTACAATTTCAGAAAGATCCATACACTTACACACAAGTTATGGTCCTGAAACTAGAAAAATGCTTGTTTTTTGCCCCTTTTTTGGCCCCCAATTCCTAAAATTTTGAGGCAATTACCCCCAAAATCAATCCCAGCATTCCTTTTGTGATATGGAACCTTGTGGTACAATGTCAGAGAGATCCATACACAAACACACAAGTTATGTCTGGAAGTTACAAAAATGCTTATTTTTGGCCCCTTTTTGGCCCCTAATTCCTTTACTGTTGGTACCATAACCCCCAAAACCAATCCCAACCTTCCTTTTGTGGTATTTAACCTTGTGGTAAAATTTCATAGAGATCCATTAACTTAAACTAAAGTTAGAGTGCGAAAACCAATGTGTCTTCGGACGCCGCCGAAACGACGCCAGACGACGCCGCCGCCGACGACGACGACGACGTCATACCAATATACGACCACAAAATTTTTTTTTCGGTCGTATAAAAACTGCAAAATTTCCTTAAAATTAACAATTCAGGGGCAGCAACCCAACAACAGGTTGTCAGATTTGTCTGAAAATTTCCAGGGAGATAGATCTTACCCTATGTCAGATTTACTCTAAATGCTTTGGTTTCAGAGATATAAGCCAAAATCTTCATTTTACCCCTATGTTCTATTTTTAGCCATGGCGGCCATCTTGGTTGGTTGGCGGGGTCATCGGACACATTTTTTAAACTAAATACTTGAATGATGATTGTGTTTAAGTTTGGGTGCATTTGGCCCAGTAGTTTCAGAGGAGAAGATTTTTGTAAAAGTTTACGGACGACGGACGCAAAGTGATGAGAAAAGCTCACTTGACCTTTCAGGTCAGGTGAGCTAAAAATGCATTTTACCCCTATGTTCCATTTTAGCCATAGTGGCTATGTTTCTTGACGTACAAGGAAATAAAATACAAAATGTATACTATATACTTTGAAACTCAATCAGCCCAAGTTTGGCTGAAATTGATTCAGCAGTTTCAAAGGAGAAGATTTTTTTAAAGTAAGCAAACTAGATGAACAAATTGTGAAAAATGGTCTTTAAAGGACAATAACACCTTAAGGGGTCAATTGATAATTATGGACAAACAAAACTTATTTGTAGATCTTACTTTACTGAACATTTTTGCTGTTTACAGTTTATCTTTATCTATAATAATATTCAAGATAATAATCAACCAGAGGCTGTCGAGTGACAGCAAACCGGATTTTCCTGCAGAGGTTGAACCCTGAACAGTTGAGCAAGTATAGACACAACATTTGAGTGCCAGTCTTTGTAAGGATCAGGCGATTCAAATAAAAAACAAAACATGGTCATAAAAAACCCGCCAACCTTACAATGCTATTTTGAAGAAACCATCATCCTAAGCCAGAAATAGTATGTCTTTTGTTTCTGTGTGTCTGGTAATTCAAAAAACTCAAGATAAGTTTTGGTTGTAATGATAGCAAATTACGGAGTTATCTCCCCTTAATGTTAATTTATAGTGCATTTCAACCAAATTGTATCTTCTATTAACAGAACAGGAAACGCAAAAGAAAGTAATTTTCGTGCATTACTACCTATTATGAACTGAAATCAATGTAAACTTGAGTGGGTTTTTATTTGTCATGTTTTCACCACTGCCTGATTCTTAGGCAGACTGGCTCTTAAGCTTAAAACAGCTCTGAATTTGGATTGTGATTGAATATTTAAAATAGATTATTATCTAATTAATAATGAAAATAATATTTGCAAATCTGAACTCCAAACAGGATCATGTAAAAATTAAACATTAACACACACAACAAAAATAAAATACCACATAACAACTGTGACATCTACCTTCATAACACACATCACTTAAAAAAACAGTTATAAAGAAATTTGGATGTTATCATGTGCTCATGGAATAAGTTTGAGTTATTTCCCTTTGAACAGAAATATGGTTTAACATAGAACTCTAACATTAGATATGATAAATAGTTCTCTAAAATTAGATATGATGTAACACAATGTATATCTATTTTCAAATTATATTCAAATATAATTAATAGTTCCAAATATTTTTCTTTCATTTGTCACAAACTAACTTATCTATGATCAATGTCAACCACTTTAAATGTAATGAAATATATCCTATAATAAAAATAGATTATTATCTAATTAAAGGAGTTCACTTCATAAAAAATATATATATAGCATTCAGAAAATTAGTTTATACAGAATAACAAACAAACCAACCACAAAATTCTTCAAACAATTTACCAAAAAAAAAAGAAAAAAAAATCCAAAATGTCATTTATCATTTATACAATGTCTTTTAAAAATCTTTTAAAAAATGAGTTATTTCTCTTTGTACAGAAATGGATTAATTCATCAAAAATTGAATTCTTGGGAAATGGCTATAACTGAACAACGAGAAAAGCTAAAATCATGAAAATTGAACTTGACCTTCATTTAGTCACAGGAAACAACATATCTAAATTTCTTCAAAGCGTTTTCATGTAAATGAACGGACACTGTTTGGCAGCCTCCCGCCTGCCGTACATCCCCAAATCAATAACCAATATTTTACTTCGAAAATCCGGTTAAAAACTGCAAAATTTCCTTAAAATTACCAATTTAGTGGCAGCAAATGGGTTGTTAGATTCATCTGAAAATTTGGGGCTGATAGAACTTTACCTAATGAACATTTTTACCCCATGTCAGATTTGCTCTAAATGCTTTAGTTTTTGAGATACAAGCCAAAAACTGCATTTTACCCCTATGTTCTATTTTTAACCATGGTGGCCATGTTTTTTGATGAAACAGAAAATAAAACACAAACTTTATACTAGATACCCTAAGGATCATTCAGCTTAAATTTGGTTGGAATTGATTCAGCAGTTTCAGAGGAAAAGATGTTTGAAATAGTTTACAAGAAAATTTACAGACAGACGTTTTGTAATGTATATATGTGTGTGTTCACTGTTTAGAATTTTCAAAATGTCTACAGTTTAGTGGCAATTGGCGGACGAGGGTGTCATCCGCTATTGCTCACAATTGCAAATCTTGTTTAATTTGGTTTTATAGATCTTTGAAAAAGCTTACGCAAACGACGACCGACAGACAACAACGGACACCAAGTGATGACAAAAGCTCACATTGCCTTTAAGACTATTTGAGTTTATAGTCTTCGTTTAAGGCGACAACTCCTTTAGATGTCATTCAATTGTTTCGGCCGTTTGGCATTTCTGATAATTTTTATTGTTTACAATTTCTGTCTATCTATCATAGATTTTGATATAATAGGCAAAAACACTAAAACTAGTCACCAACGGAAAAAGACTCCTAACAAGATATCAAATGCTATCTTGGATATTAACATTTTTATAGATCTTGTATTGCCGATTTTTTTTTTTTTATATACTTTTAATTATAAACAGAAGTGCTAAGCCAAACCAAATTATTGTTAACATCATCTCTCCCTAGTCTAAACTTTTTATTTAAATTATGAAGAGATAAGGCGCTGTATTACAATATTGAGTTAGTCATTTGTAGGAGAAATTGAACACCTTTAATGGAGACAGATTTATATAAGATTTTCTTGTTTCTGAATACCTGTATTTCTAATGTTTAATTACGTCTGAAAATTTCAGAGAAGGTAGTTCTTGACCTAATAAACACTTTTACCCCCGTGTCAGATTTGCTCTAAATGCTTTAGTTTTTGAGATATAAGCCAAAAACTGCATTTTACCCCTATGTTTTATTTTTATCCATGGCGGCCATGTTTTTTGACGAAACAGAAAATAAAACACAAACTTTATACTAGATACCAGTTTGGTTGAAATTGGTTCAGGAGTTTCAGAGAAGATCTTTGAAATAGTTTACACCGGGCGGGCGGACGGACGACAGATGACGACAGACGCCAAGTGATGGCAAAAGCTCACATTTCCTTTTAGGAAAGGTGAGCTAAAAAGTTTAGATTCAGCATTTCAAAGAACCCCATAAATTCAATTTTTGTTGAAATCAAACAGTTTAATTTTGGGCCCCCGATTAGGACCAACTTGAAAACTGGGATCAAAATCAAAAATCTAAATACATGTTTATTAATAAACAATACAAGTTTTAGTTTCTAAAGGAGTTTGCTCCATAAAAAATGTATATATATATATAGCATTCAGAAAATTAGTTCATACAGAATAACAAACAAGCCTACCACAAAATTCTTCAAAACATTTACCAAATAAAAAAAGAAAAAACAAATTTCCAAAATATCATTCATCATTAATACTATAATAATAATTAATAATAATCTATAAACATGATAAAACTTATCTGTAATTAATTTCAAAATTTATAATAATGAGCAGTAAATTTTAAACTATATTTATACCGTCCTACAGAGTTTATCATCAACAACACTTAGGAAACATTAAATTTTCAAATAAAACTGTCATTCCAATTATAATTTTGTTAGTTGATAATTACCACATGTTTGTTATCTTGATAAAAGGTGGAAATTATTGCATGAATCAAACAGATACAATCATTGATAGACTATCTGTCCATATACTTATTAATTACACCATTTCTGTTCAAAGGGAAATAACTCAAAATAAATAAATCAAATAATAAGTATCACTTTTGCTACTGAAAGGTCTACAACTCAACAACGAGAACAGCTATTCTGTTGAACTTGACCTTCATTTAGTCACAGGAAACAACATATCTAAATTTGAAAAGATTTCGTCAAAGCGTTTTCATGTTAATGAACGGACACTGTTTGGCAGCTTCCCGCCCGACTGCCGTACATCCCCAAATCAATAACCGATTTTTCCTTCGAAATCTGGTTAAAAATGCAAAAAAATCCACAAATCTAATTACATTAGAGGGCGATAACTCCAATAACGAGTTGACTTTAGTTTTCGGCCATTATGGCTCATTTGTGGATCTTGTCTTGCTGATCATTTGTGCTGTTTAAAGTTTCTATATATCGATTACAGTTTTCAAGATATAAGGCAAAAAAGGGAAAAATCTTCATTAAAGGGCAATAACTTCAATAAAAAGTCAACTAACAATTTCAGACATTTGACTTATTTTTAGATCTTGTCTTTCTGGTCATTTTTGCTTTTTAAAGTTTCTGTGTATCTAATATAGTTTTTAAGATATTAGGCAAAAACGCAAATAAAATGCTCCGCTGGGGCGCAGCTTGATACGACCGCAGAGGTCAAACCCTGAACAGTTGGGGCAAGTTAGACACAACATTCAAGCTTGATACAGCACTGAATTTGGATTGTAATTAAATATTTGACACAGCATAGGTTTCTGACACAGAATGAAAGTGGTCTAAGAACTTAAAAATTTTTAATTTACCTATTCAAACCATATCATTATTATTTGCTTTTATATATAAATCAGAAATAACCAATTTAAAATGGAAAATTTTAAAGAAAATAAAGGAAAAAAAAATCCCCCCGCCCCAAATTTTTGAACCCCCTTATGATTCATCACCGCCAAACTCAATCCCAGCTTTCCCCTTGTGGTATGGTACCTTGCAGTACAATTTCAGAGAGATCCATACACTTGAACACAAGTTATTGTCTGGAAACTAGAAAAATGCTTGTTTTTTGGCCCCTTTTTGGCCCCAAATTCCTAGAAAAAATGTTTAGGGCAATTACCGGTACCCCCAAACTCAAACCCAGCTTTCCCTTTATGATATGGAACCTTGCAGTACAATTTCATAAAGATCCATACACTTACACACAAGTTATTGTCCTGAAACTAGAAAAATGCTTGTTTTTTTGCCCTTTTATGGCCCCTAATTACTAAAATTTTGAGGGAATAACCCCAAAAATCAATCCCAGCCGTCCCTTTGTGGTATGGTACCTTGCAGTACAATTTCAGAGAGATCCATATACTTGAACACAAGTTATTGTCTGGAAACTAGAAAAATGCTTATTTTGGCCCCTTTTTGGCCCCTTATTCCTAAACTTTTTGGGTAATTACCCCCAAACTCAATTCCAGCTTTCCCTTTGTGATATGGAACCTTGTAGTACAATTTCATAAAGATCCATACACTTACACACAAGTTATTGTCATGAAACTAGAAAAATGCTTGTTTTTTGCCCCTTTTTGGCCCCTAATTCCTAAAATTTGGAGGCAATTACCCCCAAAATCAATCCCAGCATTCCCTTTGTGATATGGAACCTTGTGATACAATGTCAGAGAGATCCATACACTTACACACAAGTTATTGTCATGAAACTAGAAAAATGCTTGTTTTTTGCCCCTTTTTGGCCCCTAATTCCTAAAATTTGGAGGCAATTACCCTCAAAATCAATCCCAGCATTCCCTTTGTGATATGGAACCTTGTGGTACAATGTCAGAGAGATCCATACACTAACACACAAGTTATGTCTGGAAGTTACAAAAATGCTTATTTTTGGCCCCTTTTTCCTTAACTGTTGGTACCATAACCCCCAAAATCAATCCCCACCTTCCTTTTGTGGTATTGAACCTTATGGTAAAATTTCATTGAGATCCATTCACTTAAACTAAAGTTAGAGCGCGAAAACTAATGTGTCTTCGGACGACGACGACGCCAACGTCATACCAATATACGACCACAAAAATTTTTTTGCGGTCGTATAAAAATCGTAAAAATCGTCATTATAGGGCAATAACTCTAATGAAGAGTCGAATGAAAATTTCGGCCATGTTGACTTTTTTGTACATCTTGTCTTATTGATCATTTTTGCTATTTAAAGTTTCTGTATATCTATTATAATTTACCCTTGTCAGATTCTCTCTATATATAGCGGTTTTCAAAATAGGCAAAACTTGCATTTTACCCCTTTGTTCTATTTTTAGCCATGTCGGCCATCTTGGTGTCTGGCGGGGTCATCAGACACATTTTTTATACTAGATATCCCAATGATGATTGTGGCCAAGTTTGGTTAAATTTGGCACAGTAGTTTCAGAGAAGAATTTTGTAAAAATTAACAGACGACGGAATAGGACACCTAGTAATGAGAAAAGCTCACTTGGCCTTTTAGGCGCTAAAAAAATAGACTTCTTCAAGAAATTTGGAACAACTAAACCAAACAAAAAGTGGATTTTTAAAACACAATTATTTAGTCAGTGAAAGTATAAATCAGCTGAGTATAAACTTAATAAAGTAAATTTACACATTGGTACATCTGACATTTCTTTTTGGCCCTAAATATTGAAGCATAATTTTTTATATGAATCATCATCTTACATCATGGACTTCCTCTACTGAAATGTAAGCTTCTGTAGGTAATCCTAAATCTTTAGGCTTGGCATCAATCACAACTAATACCTGTAATACATAGAAATTACTTGTTATTGGCATTTTATTAGATTCTTAATAAATAGTACAGAACTAAAAAACAAGAATGCTAGTGTAAGTTAAATATTTTCTAATTTCACACTACTCTCTTTAAAAGATATAGGAATAAAATATTCACCAACAATCACCTGATAATATTTATTTGCTGAGGTAACACGATATCAAATTGCATACCCCCGATTTCTATAATTTTTTGCACACTTGTACTTTGGTTCTAGTTACATCAAAATTCGAAACTAGAGGCTCTAAAGAGCCTGTGTCGCTCACCTACATCTTCAACAATGGCCAGTTTTTAGTAACACTGTAATAAAAGGGGAACAAGCATTCTGAGTATTGCATGGCAATACATAGTCCCCTAACGGGTAAAATATCATTTTACTGGAACAAAATGCTAACTTGTTCTATAACTTGTCATGGTGTAAACAAAAAGTAAATATCATCAATATCTTCAAGCATGACTAAAAACAGTGTGGAAAACTGATTATATGAGTGAAAAAAACATTAGATATGATTAATAGTTTTCTAAAATTAGATATGATGTAATACAGTGTATATCTATTTTCAAATTATAATTAAATATAATTAAAAGTTCCAAATATTTTTTCTTTCATTTGTCACAAACTAATATAGATTTGTAACTTATCTATAAAATGTCAACAACTTTTATCTACACAATGTAATGTATTGAAATATATACATTAATAAAAATAGATTATTATCTAATTAAAGGATTTCTCTTCATAATTTTTTTTTATATCTATAGCATTCAGAAAATTAGTTTATACTAAATAACAAACAAACCTGCCAAAAAATTCTTCAAATAATTTTACAAAGAATGTCTTTTAAAAAATGAGTTATCTCCCTTTGTACAGAAATATGGTTTAACATAGTACTCTAACATTAGATATGGTCCATAACTCTGGACTAAATCATCAGACCGGAACAAAATTCGAACTTGATCTATAACTTGTCATGATAAAACTATTTACCAAATATCAAATCAATATCTTCAAGAACAAAGAAAAAAATTGTGGAAAGCTGATTTGCCGGACTGACGGATGGACAGACGGACGGAGTGCAAACCTAAACTCCCCTTCGACTTCTTCGATAGGGGACTAATAACTCTATTAAAGGGATAATCCACCAAAAAATGAAAAATTGATATTTTGTTCTTTAAGTATAATAAATCACATTCATAAATATTTAAGTTTTATCCTCCTTGCAAAGAGATCAAAATTGATTTTTCAAATTAACTTTCAGTTCTCGACATGTCGCCATCTTGACAGCATCCCTGATGTAAAAAGTCATGTGATATCTATAAACCACAAAGTACCAAAACAATCAGGGATTACCGTTGTCGTCATTCAGTGTTAAAATGTCTTGTCAAGCATACTGACAAGGTTATGACAAAAGTCTACATAGTTTTCCAGATCCCACAAAAAAGACAGAATTGTATCAGACATGGTTGTGCAAACTTAAGCTAACAGCAAACAGTTTCATCTATAGCAAGCACAAGTTGGTGTGTGAAGACCCTTTAGAGAAATCTTGTTTCGAAGGAAATTTGATGGTATTGTCCTTTTTTAATAACAAAATAACCTAGCAGTTCTGCTAACTATTGTTTTCAAATCCTTATAAGACCTCGTTGATAATAAAAGAATTATAAATTTTATGAGGAAGTAAAATGTCAATTATAAGAAAAGCAAGTTCACTGTCGACGAAGTTTTCATTAGTATGTCTCTTTTATATAAAGTGCATTGGTATAAAGAAAAAGAAAAAAGAAAAAAAATATAAAGAATAGTCCCTTATTTAGAAATGATTATTAGAAGCTTATGTTATGTATAAGCGTTGTTTATTCATGTCACATCATAGCTTGCATGTGTGTAGCACATGTTTGCTACTGACATGCCTCTAGCTTCATGAACACTCCTTATTTGGTCATAAGGCGAAGAAGTGATACATACCCTTCTCAAAATTCCCCAGGATTCTAGGTAGTTGTTCAGTTTTAGTTTTGCTGCTGACAGTGAAAGTCATACATTAGTTATCATAAAGTTACAAAATATCGTTTTCAAGTATAATATTAACTAGTTGTTAATATTCGTATGTTATTGCAATATTCAGTTATTGGACTTTTGCGTTTATCTTTATATATGTGAGTACAAACTAAAAGAAACTTTCAGTATTGGACTTTTGCGTTTATCTTACTAAAAGAAACTATGTGTTTTAAATTGTTATATTTTAATAATCACATTTACTTAGCAATTTGAAAGAACATTTTCGTAAAGTTTCAAAGATATTGAACTTTTAATAATTATGGCTTTCAGACTCTATTCAAGAAATCACCCATATTCAAGCAGACATTTGGACTTAAATAATCCAGACAATCACAGCAGTTTAGGGGAAAACTGCAGCAGCTGGGGATTGTTGTACCCAAAAACGTTTGTAAATCTATTCTTAAACAATTTTATATAGAAAATAAAGATCGTCAAAATAGCCACCGTAATACCGCCCAGAACGAGGAGAATTTTAGTGAACAAGAACAAGCCGTGTTGAATCCTATTACGCAACACTCTGGGAGTGCCTCAGACAGTACCACAAATGTGACAGACGAATTGCGCAATCCCGCAGCTGATGAAAGAAGTAGTTTGCGGAGCGAAATCAATGAATCAACCGGAAGTGTGCAGTTCGGCAGCGTTGGTGGCAACAACATGGCTGCCATTATCCAATCTTTCAGTATAGTGTCGCAGTCTGTAGCACAGTGCGCGTCAGGTCTCCAACAGACAGTTAACCTTATCGCCAACCAAAAGACTACAGAAAATGATCCTGCAAAGAAATTAGATCTGGCGCAGTGGTACAGAACAGAAACATGGAGGACGCACCACTAGCCGTGCACAGATCCGTACAGAACCGCCCAACACTGGTAACAGCACCATCTCTTGGATACTCGTCCTACAGCTGGAGTCCGATCAAATGCTTACTCAAATGTGGATATTGTGGCTCCATCATTACAAAGAAACATTATTGAGGGTAAGGATGTAAACTTGAGTCTCCTGTAAATCATTCAATAATAGCAGACGGGGTGCTTGTAAATTTAGCAAATAAACCAGACCCAAGATTAAACAGGCATCTGTCAATCCAAGAGTTTATTCAAGCATTTGGAAAATTCAAAAGAATCATGTGTGGTGCCTACCCAGATCGTCAGGATGAATAAGATGCCTATGAAGCTGACATTATTAACATTAATAATTACTATGGCCCAAAATTTTATGACTATCATAAAATTTTTACAGCAAAGGCAGCAGTGCTTCTGAGGGAAAGGCATGTTAAGGTCGATTGGAGCCTTCATGATCGTGACGTCCTTTCTTTGATAATAGCAGGATCCTCAGTAAATGTGTGTAAAATCTGTAATTTAATTGATCATGCTACACAATACTGCCCATTGCAATCATCAGTCCAGGTTGAAAATTCCACTTCAAGATCATATTCTTCTAGCAACCTACAATCCGTAGACAAGCAAGGTCGTTCAAGAGTATTTCATGAAGGTCGGGAATAGTGCAATAATTTCACTAATCCTAAAGGTTGCTATAGGAAAGTGTGTTATCTCCTCCATCAGTGTACAAAATGTCGCGCAACAGGCCATGGTGCCGCAACCTGTAGGAAATCCAATAGCAATATGCCTGTTCATTCTTCAACATCTTCAGTGTCCTCCAAGGGGAACTGGAGAAACCAAATTCAGGATGACTATCCAAGGAAAAGTTCTTTTGTGAAGCTTCAACACCAATAAATGTTGATAAATTGGAGGAAGAGTACTAGTTATCATCACATCCTGATAAAAAATTGGTATTATATCTATGTAAAAGGGTTGAGACAAGGTTTTGATTGTTTAGTTCAAGTAGAAATTTCAGAATCTAAAGACTGTAAAACTAATTTTTCTGCTAGGTCTCAGGTTTCAGTTGTATCAGAGTTAATTAAAACAGAATGCCAAAAAGGCTTTGTACATGGACCTTTTCAGTCCTTACCTTTTGTAAATTATAGAGTAATTCCACTGGGTGATGCTGAAGGTAAATACTCTGGGAAAAAACGTTTTGATTTTAGATCTTTCATCTCCACATGACAATGACAGTTTTCTAAGTATTAATGATATGATTGATAAAGAAGAATGTCCCTTGTCTTATGTTAAAATTGATGATGCTATAAGAATTATTCAAGTATGACTTATCCGATGCGTTCAAAATTTGTCCTTACTTGCCATCCCAGTGGCCTTTATTTTTTTTCAAATGGCAGTCTTTTTATTATTATTATGTAAGATAAACTTTTGGCTGCCGGTCTAGTCCTAAAATTTTTGACACAGTGTCACAGGCAATTTGCCATATTGCAGCGAAAAATTATAAGATTAAGAATATTTTACATTTACTCGATGATTTTCTTACTATTGATCATCCTAGTGAGGATGGTGAAAGAAGCATGGCTATAATGCTGACCATTTTTAAACGTTTAAATATTCCAAAAGTCAAGCACAAGACTGAAGGACCAGTAACTTGTCTAGAGTACTTAGGTATTATTTTAGATACAAACAAAATGGAAGCAAGATTTCCAAATATTAAAGTACAGAGAATATGTGAGTTTATTTCCAAATTGTTGTCAAAATCATCTTGTACCAAGAGACAGTTACTGTAAAAGCAGAAATTTTCGTGGAGGATTTAATTTCGTTTATTTCGTGGAAAGAATATATCCACGAAATTAAAACCCCCACGAAAATTTAACCTACATATAATATCACTTCCATTTAATGGAAACCACGAAATTAAATCCCCATGAAATTTTATATAGAGACAAAACCACGAAATTTTCACCCCACGAAAAATAATGTTTCTACAGTATTACAGTTGTTAGGACATTTTAATTTTGCCACAAGAGTTATTTTACTTGGCAGATCTTTTTTGTCTTACCTAATTAATTTGTCAACTACTGTT